TATAGCGGCCATGTAGTAGACAGAAATAGGTCATTTAAAGTGGTTTATCTTAATCCTAGTAGTTTTCCTTATGGGGTTCGATCTCGCCTGTTTCACATAGCTAAAACTATAAAAATTCGAGCTAACAATCCAAGTCTTCACATTCATAGGAAATTTGAAACACCTTTGTCTCTCCCTTGGTCTTAATAAATATTTTTATTTATTATTATTTTTCACGCTATTTGTTCGTTTATTTTCTTTCACCATCTTCCTTACCCATTATATTTATTTATGTGATTTCTATTCAACTGCTATCATCGAACCATGAACTGCCTTGATTGGTTTAATAGTTCCGTATATGCATAAAAATGTTACTGATAAGGATCTAATCAAAAATAATATTGTCCTCTGATATATGTTGCTCTTATAATATTTCAATAACATCGTATCGATCATTATTCATTATTCAATCAAAGCATTATAGATGACAGTTTGCATGTAATTTTTCGGAAACTAATCAGTGTTGCGAAGTTATGATCACTCGGCTCTCATAAAGATGGTTGTCAATCGTTTGCTCATTAATTTTATTCATAGTTCCAGACAATATGGGAGTGTGGGTTAATTGGGCGATAATTGAATACTTCAACTCTGGATCCTTTTTTCAATTAGGGGACAGTGTGTACAGTTCTTCATTGCCAATGGAAAATGCATGAATCAAATGATGGCCCCATATTTAACTCATTTGAATGGTATCCCACCATAATCACCTCCAAAAGAAGATGCTAATGTCCTCACTGTATCACATCTTGTGTATGTCTGTGCAAACGTGCTGCTAAGCGGCTAAAATAAATCTGTTGGGCATCACATAAGTCCATTGTTGGTCTTTAGGATAGAGGGATTATTAGATCGAATACATAGTTCCTCCTTTAGAGTAGCTATTAAGAAACCATTTTCATTTTGTAAACTGAAAAATCTTTTTTCTTTGGGTAAACGGCATTTGTTAGTCTATAGATGCATGAGCCAGTCCATGGCGAATGATTAACTGGTGCGCGTTTGTTGTTCTTGACTTTGACAGGGATCGGTGATCCGTTCGATACTCAGTGACTCAACTGCCGGCTGATGTGGCTAGGACTGAGTGACATTTCACTGGCCATGAAACCCCCAGCTATGATATTTGGTGGTCCTTGGAGGATATTAGTATGATTCATTTAAAGGATCCAGAGGAATAAGTGAAGCGATTCGGGACAAATCGGTGATTAATACACGTTAATATTGGTAAGAAAGCACAGCCATGAAGCTATTGCAACTTCGAGTGATCGGTAGTCATGAAGACAGATTTGCACTTATCTCCCCTATATATAGAGCACAGCATTTTCTTACAGATTTATCGGGATTTGGTAGAAAATATATTGAACAAATAACCCACTAAGTTAAAGAGGTTGAGCGCATCTCCAGCAAATGAGCTTTAATTATCCTCAGGGATATGATATTGGTTTAAAGCGAGGAATCGGTTGTTTTTCAAGAGCTCGCTTTAGTGATAACCAGGGTAACAAAAATACACACATCCCACCCACTAATGCCTAGAACCACCAATAAGTAATGTAGTAGGGAGGGAGGGTGGAGTTACTGACCAGCAAGCACTGATGGTGTGGGCGATGATTTCAATCCACCCGTGTTTGTGGGGCAGAACATTTTGTTTGTATCAGGCTCTTTATGGATGAAAACAAGTCAATAGATCTGTGATATTGAGATTGTTTACCTACACTCACCATTAAGACTCATGTTTCTAATTTTTGTGCTGGATTAACTATTCTACTAAGACAACCTTTAACATGCTAACTCGGACTTTTACATGAACACTGTGTGGCAGGCATCGGATGAGAAAAGAAAAAAAACTGACTGTAAAGGATATGGTTGCTATTTTATTTAACACTACTCTCTATATGCACTCTCAGTTCTTCCTCATTCCAACCTTGACTTCCCTCCTTCATTGGAACCTACTCCACCTTGATAAATATCACAACTCATTGTTCTTTATTACTGCCTTCTCTTCTCTGGAGCCCCTAATCGCAGTTTACTCTTGCAAAATGAGCTAGCATCAATTTAATCTAATAATTTATCATACCTCTATCTGTTCCACTAATAAATGTTGAGCATTGATTATCGCTCATATCCAAATGCCTTGCTGCTCGGTTTCTTTTTTTTCTCTTCGGAATCTTGCTCTGAGGGTGAAGCTATGTGACTTCTGACATCTGGAACAAGCTTGACGAACGCGCTTTCCCAAGGTCATAGCTCGAACCAGGCGCTCCACAAGCCTACTTTATAACAACAATAAACTTAAAAAGCTGCATTACATAAATATTTAGAACTACCGAAACCCTATTACACTTTTTGTCGAGATTGGATCTGGTATATAACGTGGACGCTATGCCCCTTTGGAAACTATTCTTATGAAAACACATTATATGTGAACGAATGAACTGCTATCAACTTTTATAGATTATAATTACTAAACAAGCTTGCTTGGGATGCATACTGTGAACCAGTATATGTTGTAAATTGTAGATCATGCCTGTAAAAATGGCGTGTACCTGCTAATGCAGAAATATATTATTATTATTATTATTATTATTATTATTAATAGGTTTCTCATCCCGCATCCTATCTCGAATCTCCAAGATCACAATCGTAATTATCCTCATGACAATAGTTTTCCACATCTCACAGTACCAACGCATCGAATAAAAATGTTTCCGAGGTACAAAAGCGGTCATAACCCCCATATACATACAGCGAGTTCCCCCCAAGCGAATACTAATACAAATGGCTATAACCTAGGCAACGAGCCTAACTATCAAGATCACCCTACAAATAGCAGTACACTTAAAACAATCAGTATGCACACGATTTTCATGGAATACGAGCCATAGTTACATCTCTGATATGGTATCTACCCCATGCTATTTCAAATAATATGGGAAGTACAAGCCTGCTTCTCCCGTACAACTTTGACCAAACAGTATTATTCTCACTCCTCCCTCCTGATTAGCATATCTAAGCAACTTCACTGGGTCGTTTAGTATATACCCATCTTACCTAGATATCGGGAAATCGAGCACATAAATTTTCAAGTACCTCGTCATTATCGTTCCTTTCTCTCAATCCATTTCGTATCACGATATCACCGTACACGTTGTTGTCAAGGTTGTTCAGGTCTACCATCAGGGTGGTCTGCTCCTTCCCTTAGCACTTCTCTACGATAGACTTCAACCTTTTATTTAACTCATATTTATCGTCTTCATTGATGGATTCATAGCATTGGATAACACTCATTGTGATTTCGTTCTTTTTTTGAAGAGTGATTTGATGACTCTGGGTTCATGAGATTCCTATTCTAAGAGCTCTTTTCATGCTTCTTTGTACAATATCAGAGCAATTTCTTGAGTGTGAGGAGCATTTTTCTCTTCGTTACAGGAGTACAGCAGCATCTCTTTCGTGTCTAGCCTTTGATGTCCAACCTGTCTCTAATGTGGTTCGCTGATTCCGAGAAACGCTAAGTTGTACCTTCTCCTTTCATTGCTATTTGGAAGGTCCTCCTAGTCTCCCACATTGTTCGAACATTCCATGTACCAATGTTAATTGTTGATCTTGTTGTTGGGTGTAGCATCTGCCTCGTGATTTACGAAAATTCCTGACTTTCATCATGAGACGTTATAATTCTTCTGAGCAAAGACCCCTCAAGTCCCAGGGCAGAGTTTGAATGGTCCAAATAATTTTTTATGAGTTTCTTTAGTTATGTTGTTTCATATGGAATCGGATTACTGATTGCATACCCAACACTTCTATTTTACTCAGTTTGGAACCAGCCGTGAACCTAGAAACGCTTCAGGAGACTTATAGTCACTGTAGTAGTGTGAAATGCTAGCCAGTCGAAAGAAATAGGAGCAAATAGCACGTTCGCTAATTTTGTGCTCTTTGAATTTGCAAAACCGTCTTCAGTGACTTCTTGTTAAGGGACTCGGCTATCAATTAGTTTCAGCGCTTGGTGTTGCTGGGACGTAGGGTTTTGTAACCAAGGTAATAGATTTTGTCTAAGGTTTTGCGTGCGTAATACGTGATTTTTGTACCACATAAATAGGCAAAAAGCGTATGAATTTCATGAGTTATAGAATTTGTTGTACATTATTATTATTATCATCATTATATTATTCAATAAGCTCAATCCCAACACAAAAACTTAGGGACAACACTCTAAAATGGGAGACAGAACGCAAAAAAAACGGATTGTATAGATAATATTTACTTTGGATGGGTAGTTCAAGAATTAAATTTACCAGTCGACTTAAGCTAATCACAAATGAAAACCTGGGAGCACAGGACTGCCGTTTACTCCTAGTATACGACTCAAACTTCAAAAGTCGCTGCCAGCTGTGGCATTCTAAAAGACTTTCAGGAGTCTTTCGGGAGGAATCCTGAGACATGTTAAAAGACCAAGGTGTGATGTTTAAAGTACTTGAAATATAATATAAACAAGTAATCCCAGAAAAAACGCAGTTCAATCAAAAAGTATTAGATGAACACGAACGAATTTACTGTATTTGGAATCCAAAATCAAAACAATCATCAATACAAAGAAATCATTGGTTCATATAAACATCCCACAAGGGCAGAATCTGGCTGTCTCAATACTTTTTCTCCTTTATCGTTAAATATGTCTAGGTTCCTACCTGGACGCATAGGTTGTCATTTGCTACAGAAGCCTGTCAAGCGGAAGCTTCCTCTCTATCTCATTTAACCAACCCCCTGTCAGGAAATGTGAGAATTTTTGGTATCCAGAAACCATACTACCATGAGACAAACGCACTTGAATTACAAAATGAACAAATCCACAAGTAACCACCACACTGACTAGAATTAGTGCAGTCAAGTTACTAGACTACTGCTCATTGGATATTACCAAGTACCTGGAACTGTACCGAAATAATAACATAAAGAGAGAGCAAAGAAATCAGTCGGCTTAAACAAGATTGTGACGAAGATTTTTGAAGGTCATTTTTTTGTAGTTGTTATGGTTATGTTTTTTGCTTTTTTCAAAAGGTGAACAGTGTATTTTGTTCAGCGCTCGATAGAAAATGAATTTTCCTGAGGATCCAAATCTTCAAAGCGATCAAAATAATGAGGAATTACAACCTCCACCTGACGATACTTTCGAAATGGATGAACAACATGGTATTGTAGATAATAACTCACGCAGAAATGAAGTGAATGTTGGAAATGAACAAAATGATTTGGTTGTCCTGGATCCAAATCATGTAGGTTCTGCTGGTTAATTTTTCAGACTTAATAAAGCCGTTGATGAGACGTTTTCAAGAGTCTCTGAGAAGTATGCTCACCAAACATATCGATAGTACGGAGATTCACCTGAGAGAAAAAGTATGTTTTGTATATTCTTCATATTAATACGTAGGATGAAGAGATGAAAAGAGAAAAGTCAGCTCACATTGAAGTTGGTTGCGATTTGTATAACCTTCAACAGGAACTCGCAAAGTAAAATGAATGGATTTCCATAGTTTTCTCGTAGTCTTGTGTTTACAAAACCGAGAATAATTTTAAAGGATTTTCATACTCTTAAAAACTGTGAATACTTTGGTTTCTTTTAAAGACTTAGCTAAATAACTAGTTAATAGTGACATAAGAGGTGAAATATATCTCTCAATATCCAGAAATGAAATTCAAGAAGGAGTTATACCAATTTGGAGAAAAATACCTCATTTAAAGGCTTCAATGAATCTCATCCGTTCCTCATAGTTCTCTATCATATGTTGTAGATAACTTAAAATTTACAACACTGTTTTTTTTAAAAAAGATAAGGGTTTGTTGTAGTATTATAAAATAGTTTATAATAATCAGATTCATAAATACATTTTATGGAAAAGTGGGCTAAATTAAATCATAAGATAACTGTTTTGTGAATGGTCTCGTACCGTAGTTACATGTTGAGGTTCACCTTGAAGAATAAAGAAATCGATCCAAGGAGGCCTTCCTGTAATATATATCCCGTAAATCAAAACTTCGACATTCCTAAGTTCTACATTTTGTGAAAGTACCCTTTCGTTCTTTCCTGTTATAATATTAAACAGTGACCACACTATCTGAGTGATATGTGTCGTAGCTAAGATATTCCTCACTTAAAGTTCAATGAACATGGCATAGTGACAACTAGCTGAATACTCATATACCGTTTTCAAGGCATCGTTTGGTACACAGATCGAAAAACCTAGAAAAGAAATTCTTTTTTATGGGTGATTGGTACATTTAAATTACGGTCACATTCTTAGTTTTTAAGTTTCGGTCTTAGTTAAAATATTTCATATGCTTGTAATCTACGTAATCTTGCTGTGTACTTGTAAAATATAGTAAAAGTGATCTGCCATAAATCATTTCAATACATTAAAAGTGATTTTTAGTAGGGTTACAAACTATGTAGCATAATCGAAACCTCCTTTTGTTAAAATAGTACAGACTTAGTACTTATTACTATGATATATCAGATAATTTGTGTCATGGATTTCGCAGGTAAGGTACATTTTTTCATTAGTTAACGAGCTTTATCAGGGAGAAATGCTAACTCTCTTTCATCTGAATTTTTAAGCTATAGGGTTAAATTGCTAATTGTTTTTGATTTGATAGAACAAACAAATTAATTGATAAGTCAGATGCAAACGTATTTTAGGAGAGAATTAGAAGCTGACTACTGGAACGGCATATTGTAACTCTTGAGATTCATCACTTTGAAGGATATTACATCTTGTGTTTCAAGCTAGTGCTTTTCCATAATATCTATCAACTGTTTTCTGTAGAATGTAAACGTCATAACAAATGCTTTCCGATTTCCTTAAGATGGATAAGCAAACTAACTTTGTACGATCACATTTTGGAGAAGAACAGAAAAACGCTTTGATGTCGTTTTTCACTTAGAAGTGCAAATCAATGAATATGGCATTTAGGAAACTAGTTAGCTGCATAAACGCAATATTTTTAGCCCTTCTTTAGGAAAGCGTTATGTTTACATAATTACCCAATAACTACAATTTTTATTCATAACTGAAGATATATCCTATTTTTAACATTCTTTATCCTTATTGAAAGCACCGTGTGTAAATAAGCAGATATATATGTATATATATTCAGCTAATGATGTTGACTGTGGTGACTGTGCATAGAGATGGATCTGTGCATTCGATAGGACAAACAGAGAAAAGAAATATGGTGCTTTTGGTGATTTACTAGACAACATTTTAGCTTATTTGTAAATTCTTTTCAAACGAGTGATTAGTAATTTCGTGTTGGTAAAAACTCTAATGATTTAAGCTACTGAGGCGCACACTATGTCGCAAATATTATGCATATTTAAACGATCAACCCTTTTGAAATGTTTCAGTCATCTAGTCTTCATTTTATGAATGGGTTCATTTAAACTTAAAGTGGATTAAGAACTGTAGTTAGATAGAATTTCTGAACAGCTTTCCTTGGCTTTCTTAGCGCCGGATATGATGGTAGGTGAACAACTCACATGGTGAATATTTGATTAAGATTATAGAAGTGTGACTATAGGATCTCCTCAAACAACAAGCTGTGTTTGTTTTTTTCATGAATGAATTTCATATTTTTGTTATTTGTTATCAAAAAATAAGGTATTTTGTTGATTATAAGATAGTTTATCTCAAAGAGTAATTTTAAAGTTTGGATTCATTTATGTGAGATATGTTGATTTTATTCCTTAGTAAAGTGATCAGCAGATAATATCGTAGTGTAGATTTATTAATAGATGCACAACAACATAAATAGCGTTAACGTAGCCAGAGAATATGAACAAAGTAGGGTGTGGGGTGTTTTGATAGTGTTTATTGTCCAACTTATTATTTTTGGAGTGATTTCTAACCATTCTAACCATTTCTAACATTCAAATTTTTCTATTTCTTCATATTTTTTGTGTGATAATAATTTCTTACATTTGAATGTCGAATGTCATTTGTTATATAAGCGATTATTTGAAATAAGGCTTTTTGAATAATTTAATCAAACTGATTGCGCGTATGTTTACCCAAATTTAAGGTTTCAGTTACAGTTAGATAACAAACATAACGAATATGCAAAATATCATGGAAAGTATGACAATGCTCAGAATAAGCTCACAACTCTCCGAGAAAAGTACCAAATATCCGTTAAAACAATGTTGGAAGAGACTAAAAAAATGCATTCTATGCGTGATGAAGTTGATGCATTGTGTTTGCGATTATACTACTTAAATAAAGCTAAGGCAGATGTTAGTGGGGATTTGCTAGTACTGCAAAGGGCAGTTGAAAAAGTCAACTCTGATTTAAGCAAGGTGAGTTGATATAACTAATGAATTATCAAAAACTTTGTAACTTTTTGAAAAGTAGTAGATATGTAAACACAAATTATAAACGTTATTTTTATCCAAAAGTGCTTTTAATCCACAGTTTTGAATGATTATTTCATCTTTTTCTTAAAGTGATCACATCTGTATAGTCTTTGATAGTTTTGTGAAGCAAAGTGTTTTCATGTTCTTTGGACGTATGTTTGTTTTTCAAACTAGCGCTCATCGGAACGTCCTAATTGTGTTACATAATTGTGGACTGTTTTTCTAATTTACATTGATAAACCATTTGATAGTTAGCAATGTCATGTTTTCCTGGTTGTCAGTACTAAAGATCAAATATCGTGTGCAACTAGATTAATGGTGATGACAAAAACGCTTTGCTCTGAATTAATACGAACGAATGATATATTGAACAAGTACGACGCTAAATTAGTAAATGATCTTCTCCTTAACCCAACCCTAATAATACCTTGTTGTACAAACTAATAGTATCTTATTAGGGACATAATAACGGAGTGATTCTTCAATGGTTGTTGAGATGTGCATGATCATTCAGACATAGGTTTGGTCTCGTTCATGACCTGAAAAAGGGTTTTGGAATATAGTGAAAATTAACAAATAAAAGTAAGTAAATTGTGTATATGGTTGATAATCAGTCAATATATTTTCTTCAAAACTGTAAATTAACATTCAGAGGTCGATTTCATCTACTGGGAAGGCTTTTATTGTTTTTTACCAGTCCAAAAACGTGCGTTAGAGTGACAAATCTGGATAAAGCATGTTCCGTGCAGTGTTGTATTGAAGCACATTGACTGACAATTTCTTAGTCAATTAGCGCTAGCGGATACTTAGGGAAAGACTCTAGAAGCTTCTTGTCTAAAATCATAAATATTCCAATGCTTTTCTTATTATGATTCCTACTTCCATCCAATCTTACTTACTTGAGATATAATTACGTTCCTGTTTAACCTTGTTTTTGATTTGGGGACATGTCGAGTGAAGTGAAGCCTCCAAAGAACACTGAGCAATAGGAGTAGCTGGGTCGCGATAAGAGAAATCATGACAACGTGTCATATAGGAGTATGCCTAACTGAACCAAAGTACTTCCTCAAGACTGACGTACCTTATTAGGCTTGTCATGATTGCGAATATTTAGTTGATCATATAACTCAATAACTTAATTATGTTAGTCAAACCTTCAGAATAGTGGGCTAAAGTTATCGTCTGAGGAAGAAGTACTAATCTCGTGATAAATTTACCATAAAAGGCAAATATTATACCATTCGTTACTCATTTTACTGAAATATCAAGAGATGTTCGACATTTTCCCTATTTTACAGTTTGAAGATGAGAAACTCCGACAAGACATTTTGGTTGATCGTATGCAAACTAAAGTTGACCAACTAAAAGATGATATTGCGTTATATGAAGCCCAAATAGCAGCTCAAGAAATTGAAATGAATACAAGTCAAAATCTTTTATACGAGGCTGAGACACAAATGGTTGCTATCAATGTTGACAAAGCCCATTTACTTACTCAGTGGAAAACTAGTTTGCTTGGCTTACAGCGTAGAAATGAAGCGTATGCAGATTTATTAGCAGCTTATAAGTAAGTCTAATTTCGATTAGTAAGATCTGTGAACCATAAAATTATAGATTATTGGTGAGTAATATTTTAGTTTACGCCAAATGAAAAATCAAGGACAGACTTAGGAGTGTGTGTAACTTGTGAAATGTCCAACTGTTTTACGGTCTACAGTTTTCGAGTAAATTGGATTCATTTCAGTGTTTGAGGCATTTTAGTTTTGTGGGGATTAAGAATATTGAAATTACTCCTGAAATCATGAAACAGCAGTTCATTGGTTGTATAAGTTTGAGCATAAACTTGAGTGACGTATTCATATGCTATTTCTAATAAATCCTCTCTTGCTGCATTATATGACAGTAATGATTACGGTTAGATTGAAGGGACATTATTTTTCACTGCTTCCATCGAAAAGGTATATGTTCTGTTTATACTATTATATTTGTAATAAACCAGAGTAACTCTTATTTCATAAATAGGATTACTAACCGTTTTAATTTAGTGACTATGTGTACATCACATATTTGTTAAATGTGGTCACATTTTTTTCAAAGCAGGACTTGACTCGATAATCTTGTCGATAACTTCCGTTATTAGTCAACTGACTTCGTTATTCAACTGAGTATTATTTAATACATCTAGTGAACAGCCATTGGCATGGGTACCAAGTATTAAAAAACGTTATTTGCTTATTTAATGGATGGTAGTGTAGTTACGTGATAGCTAGCCACTATCCAAATAGACAATGAAGAAAGTCATATTGTTTGAGAAAGTGATGTGTTATATTATTAATCTAAGTCAGTTTTATATATACATGTGTTTTCCTAGTTTTCAAGGTTTATTGGGAACGACATCAACGTGTTTACTGAAAATGACAGTTAAGATTATTATAGTCTAAACAGATGTTAGTATAAAATACTCGTCGTTTATTATGTGAAACACATGAAAAGCAAACTAATATGAGCTTTAGGTGCTTTCTGATTTTTGGGCAACCAATAATTTACTGCCAAGGTACCAGTAACAATGACGATACCCCTAGATGAGAAAATTAAATGAGATAATTAACTATCGATTGTTAAGCAATTTTGTGTTCAATATTTTAAGATTCAGTGATGAATGGTCTCAAATAAAGCTACATACTTTTATTGGGCGAAATACTTTTTACCACATGTCATATAACGGTTGATTATCTGATAGCAGTTGATAATTTACACTTCAGAATATAAAATCAGTAGATACTAGTGCATACTGCGTTAACAGTACACTTGATCCGTATTTCATTTGGTTTGATTTATAAAATATTGGGTTCATATTTGTCCTAGAAATCACACAAATAATTTAAGAATTTCAAACCATCTTTATATAGTCTAACTGTCAAAATAATTGGTGAATATTTTTCATTTCAGACTCTCAGACGTTTACAAATATGAATTTAACCTAATGTATTTACGAAAGTATTAATCTATTCACTGATTCTCTTTACTTTATAAAAGTCATATTCTCCGTATATGTCAACTGGAAGATAAACACAAAACTCATCATCTTTGTTAATTATCTTCAGCCGGTATAATAAGCAGATTTTAAAAAGAAATACTTTTCGGTTATACTGATGTTCTAGCAACCGAAAATTGAGAACTATAACACATTTCTATGTAACTACAACTTGCAAAATATGTGCAAGATTTATCGACTTCATTTACTACCTAAGGATTAAATTAGGGATCGGTTCACTTTTATATATTTTTTATTTGAACAGTTTATTACTGTGAGACAAAAATATTGACAATATTTTTTCGTTTGGTTTTAACTGAATACTACTATTAATATTTTCAGTAAGCTGAAAGAAGAATTACTTGTTTTAGAAAATGAACAAAATGCATATAAGCGTTCAATTAACAAAGAACAAGAAACACACGAACAGTTGACAGGATTACAAAATAAAAATGAATCGGACTTGAATACTTTGCGTAAACAGTTGTTACATTCAGAAACAAAACTTGAGGCTGATAAACAAGCTTACACAACATATTCAAGAATCTTACAGGAAACTGAACGTAACCTTCTCAATGCTAAAACAGTAAGCTACTCGGAAATATTTTAAAAGCATCTGTCTAACAAAAAAAGAATTTACTCTTTATAATAGAAAGCTATTTTTTCTGTGATAAAAATACGAAACCAGTGCAAATAAAAACACGTTTACATTAAGCAAGATCATAGTAAATTAAAATAATGATAAGAATCATTAGGTAAATAAAGAAGATCCACGCGAGCAAATTAAAAAAGTGTCGTTCAATAGAATTTCACAGGAAGAAATTATGTTTGGAAAAGATTAATTTTTAAAAAAACATTGGTTTATTTTAAATGTTGATTGGACCTTGTTTTCGTAGGTTTTCGTTTCACTAGGATAAATTATTGCTTTATGTAGTTCTTGTTATTGTGGTTATATAAAAATAATGAAACGTCTTGATATAAAGAAAGAGATATAATAAAACTTATCTGTTAACAATTATTTACGAATTGAGTACAAAGTAAGCAGCTACTTTTTTTCAATTTAATGTTTATCAAAGTTCTTGCGATTGGAACTCCAGTCAGTAAACTGAAACCTCTTGTATCTTAGTAAATTATTTATGTTAATTTTGTTTGTATCCAATAATATTTTTCAGATTGTTTGGTTTTTTTTTAAACATTATCTCTTTTTGGAAGTGTTAGAAGTTAATTGTCTATAAGTGGTAACTACTATGGCGTATCCTTCGAAATATATGTTATGTCGAACAAATACTTTCAATATTAAAGCAACTGATGTATATTGGTTACCTGAATATTACTATGTTACTTTTTTTACAAGGTTTTACTGCCCTTCATAACATTCACATGGAACATCTCACTCGCTACGTAAGAAAGGGAAACTAGTCAGATTCAAAGTAAAAGTTGACCATATTTTTAGAGGTTTTGAACTTCGTATCATGTTAGTGTGGCACTGTATTTCTTCCCAGTCTAAACGTGAACAGTACTGGTTCCATTCAAAAATTAAAATTAAGATTCGTTCGATAGAGTATGAGGTATAAGAATATATAAAACTCCTTGAAAATATTCATTTTTTCGTGAATCACTATACAGAAGATTCTCCATTCACAAACCTTTTGATTCGTGCTTATGCATTTTCGAGTTTAAGCTTTCCCTTCTCTTAAAATATTTGTTTGGTTAATTTTTTAGGTGCATCAGTTTATGAGCTTATGAAATTTCTACCTTAAAAAGATGTTAAACTATCTCTACTGACATTTCAATGTTACACTGAATCAATGTTAAGCCCGTTTTCGCTCTTGCTCGGATGTTTTTGCCTTAATAATAGAAACTTCCTATTTTAGAGCTATTGCATAATATGAATTGTGTGTTTCAGTGGAAACGTATGCTCATAATTTTTAAAAAAAATACACAATTTCATAGGTGACAGAATCTAAGTAGATACCCTGCTAAATTGTTGATATATGTAGTGTCTAAGGGGAGATGGAAGTTATCATCCATGCTTGTGTCTTTGTTACGGTGTATACAAGCGATCTTTGCCAATAAAAAAGGGAAGTGCTTTCATTTTTACTTAATAAACCAGTATTGTGGTTCATCGAACGTTTTTTATAACGAGGTGATAAAAATTATTGTTTTGGATGAAGTTAGGTCGATAAAAACCTGTGTACTACAAAAGCTTCAAGATTTAATATTTAACGACAGGCGTTGTTAAACGTTTCGCCAAAATTGTGAATATTCGAAACTCAGACTTATTTCCAGATCTTTTTAAGTACCAGGAAGCCAATTCTGTACCAGCGAAAATATTACTCTACATAAATAATTACTTCCAAATGCTTCATAACATTTTTTGTTTCATTACAGGAGAACAATACTGCTCAAGCAAATGTAAACAATATCCGCAAACAACTTGAGAAAAAGGTGTTAGAGAAACAAGATTTAGAGAAGAAAATCTCCGAAGAATTAAGGGATAGGTTGACTGCACAAAAGGCTGCTAATTATGTTAACAAAATCAACATAAACATACAAGATCAAAGTAGAGAATTACTAACACAAGTAAGTCATTTTTTATTGCCTAAAAATCGTAAAATAAGTTTCTCTCTAACCTGTCTTCGCGGAAACGAAAAAAAATTATACGGTGCTTAAGTAACACCAATATTGGCTTATTCTTATTATGTTACATTTGTGTATGAAATAAACTGTATTTTTTATGCGCGCAATAAATTTTTTGACTTCTTTTTATCGAATACTGAACCCACTTTAACACACACCGCTATGCCTCATAAGCTGTTTTTGTGTATTGTTGGCGATCAGAACTAATCTAAATCACTTCTTGTACTTTATTTAGACCAAATTGACCTCATCACATCAAGTTTTGTCTAAATCTTTCAAATACCCTACGTTACGTATGAATAATTTATAACTGATTATGAAAACCAGTTAATATTTATGGATCATGGAAGCAACAGTGTCTCGAACTTAATAGTCTTCTATGAAGAACTAAAGTATTTATGAAATTTTCATCCTAGCACAGTACAATTTACGTCACATGTATCATAGTTTTATGAAATGTAGAAGATTTGTGAATGATAGAAGGACAGTGTAGAGATAGGACAGTGAAGCAACAGTACAACCAGAGTGAAAATATTGTGATATATATATATATATATATATATATATATAGTTTCTGTCTTACTATTGTTAAATCATGTTTATAATTCCTTTTACACATTTATTTCTTTTTCTAATAAAAGATTGTACAAATGGAAAATCAGATTGCTAAAGACGAGTTAGGCGTAGCACATAAAAAGGCCAAGAATAAGCAACAACAAGAAAAAGTCAGTGAATTAGAACGAGAAATCGATAACACAAATCTATTGATCACTAAGCTGGAAGGTGAAATACATCATGCTAATATTTCGGTCGAACGTAAGCAAGGGAACATTGATATATTAAATAAGAAACTGGAACGTTTAATTCATGACTGCGGTGTAAGTAATTGACTGTGAAATTAAATTATATTTCTAAACAACTGAAATAACGTTTTTTGTAGTTTTGAATGACATACACTTTTATCTTAACTTTGTAGTCCAATGCAAATGATCTAATTTAGTGTTTTTAATTATTTACATATTTGGTAAGTTTTGTTTTCTTATAGGTAAATTAATTACTTAGTTATTCTAATAAAATCATATATATCCTCGATTCCTTACCATACTGATGAATACTATTTTTAGAAAGTTTTTCCTTCGTAAAGTGTTCATTATTTATATTACAGTTTTTGAGGGGGTTAGCAAAGATGTTTAATAAAGTTTTTACATGGAAAACACTGTGATTAACAACAAGGATGTTAGTGAATAATTAATAACTAGTAACGCTTCGTAATTCGAAATAATAAGTGATCGTATTGCACAATATAAGCCACTAAATATCTAGAACCTAGTTTGAGATGAAGTTGAATAATAGAAGCTTTGCAGCTACTAGATCAAAGCAAAAACCTGTTCATGAGTAAAACAAACCTTACTCGATAACTAATTTTATCTTCATCTATTGTCTACTCAAAGTCTTACTGTACGGAGATACCTTTTAATGATGAGCCGTTAAAGAAGTTTAAGAGGAGAATAAGTTTATGTTTACTAACTATTAGCTGGTTTTGTTCCAGCATATCCTGCTCAAGATTCGTGTGTAGTACAACTACAATTAATGCATCTATATTGCATCAGTTTACCATCTATTGAAATAAAAAATATTGTTACAAGATAGTAGAGTAAGGTACAGTATCATTTATAAATAATGATATGTAACGTAAGATCAATAATTTCTAACTACACCTTACTTTTACATTCAAATAGTCAGTACAAGGTTTCAAAGTTACTTAAGTTCTAAAGAAACTTTACTACAATCTAAAATCAAATTGAAATTTTGAGAAGGAACTAAATTAAATTTCTCTCTATGGTTTGATTTATTTTAATATTAGGGTAAAGAAATTGGGCCGTTGGATGCACAAGTAAACAATTTGAATAAAGCCATTGGGCTAAAACAGGATGAGATCGGTGAACTTGAACAACAATGGTTGAGAGAACAGAATGAATTAGTTGTAAATATAAACGAACGTGATAAGTTAGCTGAGTCTGTGACTAGAATAAATAAACAATTATCAATTTTAACACAGAAAAAATTACGCATTGATAGTAAGTCTACGTCTTAATCTTCACTTCAATTTTTTCATACCTTAAGTAAATTAATTGAAATTTGACGTATTTCGTCTAAGCAGCCTTAAGATTAAAGGCGGCTTGCAAGAACATCTGGGCTACTTGTTCCTGTTATCTAAATACTTCAACAAGTTATATAGTTTTGTTTGTTTTAATACATCATTATTGCTATTATTCTTACAACCTATTCAGGTGCGTTTCTGAAAAGTGTACAAATTTTCGTTGTAAAAGTTACAATAGCCCAATCAGAGATATCGTGGTTGCTGGCAGTATGCAGCGAAAAGAATGTACATTATTTAGATGTCAATTGACTGGATCGCCAACTTCTTACTTGCAATAACTCAATATTTCTCGTCAGGAACGATCAAGAAGTAAGAAACGGAAACTTGTTGAAATACATTGTGCTGAGAATTCTATATTGCACCAAAAATATAATACTGAATAAAGCTAATAATAATAAAAAAAGGAATGTCTTGAGCTAAACCATGGAAAATTCAAGCTTAATATCGTTTTTAGAAAGCTTTATTATACTGATAGTCACTATAACCAGATAATATTATTTAAATGAATTTATATTAGACTGCTGAATCCATTCGAAATCATTGTTCAATAGAGATTTTAAAAATCTTCAATTTTTTGAAAAGTAAGCTCTAGCTACGGTCAACCTAATAGTCAAATAAATCCGGTTACAAACTCTTCACCTAATCTCCAGTCGATCACTTTCTTTAATCAGAAAACAATACCCCACATTTTACAGGTTTTTAAAGAACACCTAATGTTTCTTTAAATTAATTTGATTAGGTCAAACTATCTTAAATTTATGTAACTTCGACATTACTCTCTGCTTATTTATAGATGAAATAGCTATTCAGGAACGTGAGAAAAATGATTTGAAAAAAGAACTAAAACATTTACAGAATGATATCACTAGAATAAACACAATGATAGCAAAAGAGAAGACAACCGAAGAATATTTGGATAATGAAAATAAACTAACTGAGATAGATTTCATACGTTCATTGAAAGAAAAAGAAACAGAAGCAGCTGATTTGCAAGAAAAAGTGGATAAAGCTTTAAAAGATAAAGAAGACTTATTAAGTGAATTAGTCGAAGTTGAGTAAGTTAGTTGAAAGACTGGCTCTGATGTAATTAATTTAGTGTGAGTTTGCACACATACAGTCACACGCCTATATTGGTTAGCATTGCAATGTTATGTTAGATATTGATAGTTCGATTGAGAGGTTATCTTCACTGTGGTCAAGCGAACTTATATAGCAAATTGGTAAAATCACATCGCGGAACTTTGAGAATACAGAGAATGAAAGCATATTTATTTATGAGATTTAAATGAAACCAAAGTACACACCTTTCACTAATGTTGAGATCGTTATAAATAGGTAGGAAATAAAAACAAAGCACAGCCTGCTTTAAGCATCTATGCTGTTTGAAATTAAAGAGAGTTGAGTCACTTTTGTAATTTTAATTAATACAGTTTGAAGGAAAATTTCTTCCGGAAGGAGACACTATACCAATTAACAGAATGATACAAGACCTAGTTTTAGGTTCTTTTTTATACTACAGTTTGTACAAAGGCAACGTTATCAATCTACGATCCTCTAAATTTGAGACCAAGCGTTACAAATACTTAGGTAAAGAGTCCCTTAGTGAAGCTTTTCAGACTTAATTCATTTTGTACTGATGTTTAGGACTGAAGTTGATCAGTCTCTTATTGTATATTATACTGACTGCTTCAAAATTGCCTTAAGTCACAGGGATTATAAGCACAGATGATGGTGACTATCAGTGAAATTCACCACGCACGTTTCATCCTAACAACCAATACAAAAATGAATTAAACTTCATCCCAGTGCACAAGCTAGCGGCCTTCTGAACTGAGCAGCTAAGTGTATAGTGCGATGGTGTTTAAGCGAACGGACTGAGTTCACCATCGTCTCTGCTTATAGTGCTTGTTCATATTTAGATTGCCAATTTTTTGTTTACAATAAATCACTTCGATCTAAATTTTTTTCAAATTTATTATAAATTTAGACGGACAATTATGCTGTGGGAAAAGAAAGTACAATTATGCGAAGAAACTAAAAAATCCGTTGATTGTGATATAGGTCAAGGTGAAATGAATGTTATGCGTCACGAAATTCATCGTATGGAAGTTCGTAAATCCTCATTACTTCAACAACAAGAAAGATTAATTCAGGCACTTGAACGTTCTGTATCAAAGTAATCTGATTATTTTATTCATATATTTAACACCAATGAACTTTGTCATTTTAGGATATAAAAAAATTATAAATTGATTTAAAATGAAAAGTCTTAAATAGGCATGTAGTATCAGTTAAATATGTCAGTCGTAGTCAGATAAGAAGCCATACTTTCTTTCATAGCTATTGCGTAATTTTATAAACTTACAATAATCTATTTAAGTAAACTTAGTATGTAATTTGTTCATTAGGTGGCTACATTCTGATTGGTAGGCACTTTCATTTGAGAGTTGAATACCGGTCTTTTACAAATATAACGCCATGCTCTGGGTTCTAATTATACATTTTTTCATGTGTTGATAATACTACCTAATTTTGTTCATTTAGATTACTTTCTCTTGGCATTAAAATAAAGAATTTTCTACTTACAATATCTGAACGAATCTTACAATGTTCACAAAAACTTTATGAATTCAAGCTACCTTGGTGGTTATTTTCATAGTTTATCGAACTAAAATTTTAAGTACAGCAATAATCGTTTAACGATTACAAGGAAAAGGTTTAGAACACATTATCACAATATGTAATCAACAACTAAAGCCTTTATACCTATGAACGGACAAGAAGCAAATTAATGAAGTTAGTAATGAACGAAAAATATCTTAGTTTGCCTTACTCATCTCCCCTCAATATCTTAGCGATTACAGTTTTTCAAATACACAACATACTGTCTGCTTCCATTTATAACAGTTAGATAAGTAGTTTAAGTAATACATAGAACTGTGTGGGATTGTAACATGAAATAATAATTAAAAATTGTTTGAACCAAGAAATTTACTAGTAATTGAAAAAAAAAGAAACTTGGTTAACAGAAGTCAAGAGAAACAAGTTTTTAACCAATGAAGAGACGTCACTTTGCCCTCTACTTTCTAAATTTATCTAATGAAAATAGCGCAGCCACTGAATAGCACCAGAAAATATATAGGCATGATGTATTGATTTTGACTTCATAGCAGTCATCATTTATAAGACGTTTTGAAAAAATTCATTTGTCTCTTGATGGGTTCCTAACTTTGGATGAGAAGTTACCAGTAAACATTTTTTTAAATAATCAGGGATTCCAGATGTGAATGTACCTAGATTTCGATAGTGACACATAATCCTTGTTCACTGTATTCGATCTGACCATTCTATGTTATTTCTCCTGAATTAAAATAAATTTAATGTAGTTTTACGTTTTTGTTTACCATTTCTTTTTTGAGAAATTTCGATCAGATCATACACACTTCCATCTTCAAAATGAGCTAAACAGTGCTTGTTATCTAGTTATAAATTTTTCATTTACATTTTTATAGTTCTTACCACTATTTATTGACTGGAATTTGAAGTTTTAAAATTTTTTTAGTCTGAATCGGTATCGAATATTTGGCGATCAATTACCATGTGGAATTTGTCAAGACGTGTTTCTTGTTATTAAAGGGACTTCCGCTAAAATGGGACTTGATTTCCTGATCATTTCTATCACAAAGCTACTGAAGACAATTTCTATGTATATCAAAATATTGCAATAACAAATAAGTAATCAATACACTCTTATGTTAGATGGTTAGACTTAATCGAAACGAAACCTTGGGCCTAGTCGTTGTACTGTTTGTTACTCGTCAACAAATTGTACCTGTACTATTAAGGGAATAGATACTCCCTGGCTGATTCGATCCCGTGTTACTCAGCTTCAAAGGCAGGTACGTTGACATTGAGATATTTGTGCTGTGACTAACCTGATATAGGACTGAGATATTCATAATTGCTTAATCACTGAGTAGTGACCAATGTTATGTTCATCTAATCTTTTGCGTTCCGACTGCGAGAATATGATCAACACTAAAAAGACATGACATTAAGTAGCACCTCAGCAAATTATCACTTGTAAATGCTCTTATATTTATTGGCAAATATTGTAATACAGTTATGTATTCCATTAACCATACCCATTTTACGTACTTTTATTTTCCGGCTCATTAAAAAAGGCGTGATACCATTGTTAATCAGTCAAATGTTCTTCAGTCTAGAAAGGATAAATCACAAATTCGCATTACAGCTCAACGTCATATTGATGAACTTAAACGGAAGTTAAAAGCTATTAAACAGGTAGGTGATTTTATACATCTGAAATATTAGAGGTGAAAAGGATTTTGTTTTGTTATTCGTGTCTCATTAGTTTGAAATTAAACTTAAAAACGAAAAGTTGTGATCAATGTCACTACTGGTTTTGACAAGTGTAATCGAGGTAAGTAGATTTAAGGCATCATGTTCATATTAGTTCATCAATCTTAAAATTATTTTATTCGATAGTTATGCTCAGAATATCTTTCTGTCTAGAAGAAAGAGTTACTGGAGTTACTTTACGAATTAAGTACACCGTAACAATGCGATGTTAAGTTTGTCCTAACTCAAACAGTGAATGAAAAGAATAAATGGTTATTTTGCGAAGAAACGTTTAACGTTTCCTCAAAATGCCGAAAACACGAGTCAACTGATCTATATACATAAGCTGTCTGTAACCCCTTCGTAACTAGTAAAAAATGAACACATTAAAACTTTGTGTGGCCACTAAAGGAACGGGGAGGTAGATGCAGTAAAGAAATACTACCGGTTCATAATGAACTGTTATTGTGTAAATGTAAGAGTTTAAACAAAAAAGATAGAACATTTAGGGACTTTCAAACAGCATAGAAAGTATGAAAGCTAGAAACCATACACATGAATTTCTAGCTCGAATCGAATTCTGACAGTGATAAAAAGAGGGATTACCAGTTCCTTAGGATGCACCTTAATCTGTAATAGAAAATGTAAGATAAGCTAGATCGACGGGAAAATTAAAAAATGATCAAGTTTTGCTTTTCAGTGTATTATAACTATTCAAGTTACCCATTATTAACCATCTGTGTGAATTTTGAACATTTTATTTGATTTCCCTAAGGATATCAAAACACATCAACACTGACTGATTATTTTCTTCATTATGTATAATAACAAACAAAATTTAGAATTCTGCGTCTTGTACAGAAGAGCTGGAAGAATTTGAAGAAAAAACTAGTAGGTTAGAAGGTGAATTATGTATAAAGAAAGCTGGTGCTGAAGCTGAACAAAAAAAAGCTGATGAATTGATGAAAAAATTGCAGTCATTATCTGATCAGAAACAGATTGTAAGTTGTACGTGCTCAAAGTTTCATTTAAATATATCAATGTAATTGACCTTCTGTCTACCTGTCTCTGAGTAATACTGTGTATTGCTGTGTATCACATTGGTCCACAAATAGTCCTCAAAAGTTACCATTCACAATTCTCTTCGGGATACAACAATATCCTATTTAATCACGAAACAGTCTTTGTAAATTGTTAGTTTGTAGAAAATAAAGAATAATGTTGCAAAGTGTAAACAGATTTTACATTATTAATCAATTTGTTAAAATTTTCTGCATGTTAATCTTCCAGTAAATTAAAAGAGCGTCTTGAAAACTCATCACGATGGATAAAGATTATCTGTTTTCCTAACACTTCAATTAACCAAAATAGGTTTTTGAGTCCTCACATTGTTTTTGGTTAGTATCAAGTGTTTAAGATAAGGATTAGGAGTTGAGGTTGATGTTTTATCACGAAATGACATCAAGTATGGCGTAAAGATACTCTGCCACCATATAAATGAGTGGATTTCGTTCAAAAGTACGGAAGACTCTATCTAATTTATCCTTAAAATGTAGTGCCACTAGGTTAAATTCAGTTTAAGTATTAATAGTCGAGGGTTAGGATTTAAGGTAATATCCCTGAATAGGTATTGTAGTGTAGATTTGCTAGTTTTATACAATGTAAAGAGACAGAATTAAGCATTTGGTACGTTGAACACCATCAGTGCTTTAAACTTAAAGGATATAAAGAAAATTTCCCGTTATAATTTTAAACGTTTTAAATATATTCAACTTAGTTATTTCTACTGCCCGTTCTAAATTATATTTACATTTCACACACAAACCTAAAAATCGCATTCTCGATTGCGGTTGACTTGTCCATATACTTTTACCTGTTACAGTATTTAGCGAACGTCTTAATTACTATAGTTAGGATAATGGATTGTCCGATGTTGTAAATACATGAAGTTTTATGGTAAAATAAATAATTCTCGTTTTCGATTCATTGAGAGTACTTCTTCGAATACAATGAATTAGACTACTACCTAGTTCACACTTCGAAAAACTATTCAGCAAAACACCGATCTTCAGTTTACTTTAAATCTTTTTGTGTAACCTTTCTTTAGAACAGAAGTAATCAGAATACACAAAATGACTATCATTTTATTACACAAAGTTAAAAAAATAAATGACTTTTATCTTACATTATATGGAAAGCCTATTAGCAACAACGTTTTGGAATGCTCAAAATTCTTAAATTGATAAAACATACTCATTTTCTACATCAAAGAGTAAGAATAACAGTGTTTGACACGTCAAACCTTTTCTTCTTCCTATAGATATTAAACCTAAAATGTAAATCAATTAGTTTTTGTTACTAATTACTTTTTTCAAGTGAAATCGAGAACACTGCACTTTGTTGCAGGTTTACTGCCGATAACAGATCCGTTAGGGAAGTGGAAATTGTAAATCAAGTAATAATTCCCATAGATGATTTACCATTTTGCTGTTTTATAACTCCATCTTGCTATCTCTTCAGCGAATTCGGTAATGAAGATTTTGTAGCGGACGATGAGTTTTTATGAAAATATTTGGGAGTATGAATTGTATCTATGCTGAAGACTTTAGTGTGGTTATACTTACATTCAAATTAATGGCATTGCTTAGCATTATTTTTTAAATAATAATTTAGGAAAACTGATAAGCCTTGTAATCCAATAAGCACCATAATCCGACCATATACTTACAGATTTCATTACTTCTGTAGTGAAATACTCTTGATTTATTGTTCGCGCATTTACTACGGTTAAGCTTCAGTAATTTAAGGAAAACTACAGCATTTGAATCAATAAATGAAACTAATTTACAAGCTTTCGTTACTATGGTTCCGATTGGTAACTGAAGATCTAAGAGAGAGAGAGAGAGAGAGCTAACTTGACAAATGAAAGAGATGTATCACTCAATAGGTATTTGGTTTTATTTTTAATAAGTCAATTAACCTATTCAAACGGTAAGACGATGTCTTTTATTTAACTCTTTTCTTTGCCTAATAAATACTTGAATTTTATATAATTTTGTGAAAAAATTTAGGATCTTTTTGAGCTTCAAACGCGTCAACATGCTACAGTTTATTGGGAACAAATAAAACAAGATAAATATCGTCGTCTTTGTCCTTCTGCTACTTCCGCTGAAAATGAGAGAACCCGACATGTTAACCGTTCTCGAAGTTTGATCGCAATTATAGATCAGTTGGTAACAGAATTTCCTCAAGTATGTAATGGACATATTTTTCCATGTATAATAATTCTGTCGAAAAAATAAATTTCAATCGGATCAATAACAGAAATGAGGGGTTTATATCCCTAAATATTTGGAGGACTTAAAATGTGTTCATGATAACTTCGCCAGGGCAGTCGACAAAGCATGAATACACCTTGTGGTAAAGCCAATATCATATGTATCACAAACATTTTGATACAGATTCTTTTACAATAAATAGCTTTAGTCATACTGATCTTTTAAGGGATTGTATTGAAAATATAATAAGGAGTAATTTGCATGAGATTTTCGAGCTTAGTGACATTTGGTACGAGAACCATCACTAAAATTTCTCACGAAATTCAGATTGTTGTGACTATCGTTTAAAAATGAAAATCTAAATTTAGATTTTATTATCTAGTGAAGCATTAAAATGTTTTTGTACAGTCTAGTGTATGTCACCAGTAAGAGTAACTACTCGTATCACCCTTAATCACTATTAAAGACCATAGTTTCAGGCATGCATTATCAGAGCATTAACCAGTTATTCTAGTGTCGTTCAGTTGTTAACTCTTATGTCACCTTACTTGTATTTTCGGAACGTTCGCGTATTTACTACAGTTAGGCTTTAGTAATTTAAGGAAAACTACAGCATTTGAATCAATAAATGAAACTAATTTACAAGCTTTCGTTACTATGGTTCCGATTGGTAACTGAAGATCTAAGAGAGAGAGAGAGAGAGAGCTAACTTGACAAATGAAAGAGATGTATCACTCAATAGGTATTTGGTTTTATTTTTAATAAGTCAATTAACCTATTCAAACGGTAAGACGATGTCTTTTATTTAACTCTTTTCTTTGCCTAATAAATAAATACATAAATATTTTAAGGACGTAGAAGTAAAAAAGTGGGTGATTATTATAAAGTTTTCGTCATAGACTGAGGTTGTATAAAGAACTATTAAAAAATGGAATATTACTAAATAGGTATTTTGCCCCAGATAGCTCTACATTTTATGGCCACTGCAATATTTTCACATACATCGATCTCATAAAAGCTGAATCTGTTAAACACAATCAATATATTCTAGGATATTATTAGTTTTCATTATGACTGATTGTCTAAAATCAGTAGGGCAACGTTTACTACACTCCCTTGATTTGCGAAGTTATCTAAACATAGTTCAGGACAATAACATAAATCGAAAAGCGTGTTTTGACCAATTAGTATTATTTTTATGTACCAAATTACTTTGTTTTTAGATTCAACAGGATTTAGAACCAGTACGTTATTTGCTGGAAAATAAACTAAAATCCGAAAATAACATACTCGAAACGGATGTTACTAAAGTTGAAACTACGGAATCTCTGTTAAGCTAACACTACCAAAGATAAAATTTTCTTTACATTTATTAATTCAAAAAATTTAACTGTAAAATACATGATATTTTAATCGACTATTTGATTATAATTACTGATTAAAGAGGCAAGTTGTTTTGCTCTGAGTAACTATTTGCTCATGAATTCAACATATAGAACAAATCACTGTCCAGAGAAATTAATGTAGCCTCTGTGACTAAAGTAAGTACCATAAATACTCCATCTTTAAGGGTAACTGCGAAAAGTAATTTCGAGACTACGTTCGTGTTTGTTATTGCACAGTTTGCAAAGTTATTCAGTGCAAAGTTCTAAGAGATTAAGCAATATACGAAGTCAAACATCTGTTATACTTTCTCAAATCCCAAATAATCTGAATCTGTGATTTTGAGCTTACAGAAAAAAAAGAGATTTTCTAAGTCTAATATATTCTTTTTCATTCTCCACTCCCATTGATTTAACGAAGTATTATTGTAGTTGTACGTAAGATGTCCATTTGCCTTAAAATATGTGTGGCGAATACACTATTTTACTAGCAATCATTGTGAGACTGTATTTTGACCAGAGATCAAAACACTATTAAAGAAGTAATAGATTTAATGGACGGATCAAAACTAATTACTATGCAAACAGGGAGAGTAGTATATTCTATTGACTTTGGCATATTTTTTGAGGATTTAACAAAAGGAAACAGCCACAAAGTTAAAAACCTCTTTATTTCCATCTATTAATATGGAACGGTTTTGTTAATAATCCATGTAAAAATAAAGTGAAACTGGTGTCAGAAATAAATTATTATTATTATATTCACAATCAAGTTCAGTGATGCCCCAGACAAGTTTGAGACAGAAGATATGTAAAATTATTGAGAAACATCTTTCTCTCCAACGAGTTTCAGTAAGCAAGACTTACATAAATTGAAAGAATATGCGTTGCTACTGTCATATGGCCCACAATGTGGATCGCCGCATTCATGAAGAAATTATTTGATAGAAGACCATCATAAACATTCCTTTGTATCTTCAGGAGGACTCTCCTACTTAAGACGTATTCTCATACTTTAACAATTTTTAGAAACATTTCTGATAACCAAGTAAAGATTTTTCGATTAAATAGCATAAAAGAAATGGGACTGGTAATTGAAAATAGCAGCTGGAAGTTATGCACTCCTAACGTATTCGAACTCTATCATGCAGAAAGCATGTATGAAAAAGGGCCAGAAAGATATCTATTGTAGGTGGAATCTCAACTAATAGTAGTGTATTCGAAGTAATGGAGTGACTGATGCGACGAGTATATTTGTTGAAACAAGTGAACAGATTATAAGTCTGAAGGTGGGCGTCATGTAAAAAAATTAATAATACTTCAAAGTGTGATGAGAAACAATAAGTAACAAAATTTGAGAACTGTCTCCCACCTTTTTCGGCATCATATTTCCCTTGTTTAACGATGAGCACATTTTACATGTGTGCTCATAATCACCCATTTTTACTTATTTATCAGTGTACCAAATTATATCGAGCCACGTATAAACAGTCCACACTTTCCTCCTCGTTAATATATTTACTATTTTAAGTCTTGGAATGCTTACTTTCAACAAATCACTCATGAAATATATATTCCGATAACTTTGGGCCAGGAATTGATTTCTAAAACAAAGACTACCATAAATTAATATATTTGTAATATCCCAATGAGATATGGGATATTACAAATACATTTATTCATTTATAACAATCTATCCAATGCTCAATTTATTCAAAGTTATCAAATCAAAACTTGGTAATGATACCTACAAAAGGACTACAATGTTCTCTTTTCATTACGTAAGCTACATAGTACTTCCATTATCTTGATGTCTTAAAGACGTTGTATATTCTTACTCTTCTGAACAGCCATAAAACATGGGAGGTAGTACTCAATCCTTTCGAAATTTCTGTAAGAAGCACTGGAAAACTATATTGTTGACACCTTCCTGAAATACCAGTATTATTCTGAAATGTATAAAGTTGAGTCGTTTTGATTACTCTCTTTCGGTAACAGCTGCTAGTGATGAGAATCATGAGATATTCTTTATGAGAGACTGGAACTTTTCGCCTTATTTTTCTGGTTATTATATTAATCATTAGTTTATGACAGGATTAAATCCGTTTGCTTTGTATTGCAACTGATAATTCGTAATATTAATCACCTTGAATTTCATGGTTATTATTGTTATTATTGAATTTTGTTTCTTGTTTTATATCAGTGTCTATGGGATTAGAGGGTCCATAACGAAACTACATTTGTCATCAACTTGTTTTCTACATCGTTTACAACCATAACTACCTACCAGTTATTTTGAAGCCATGGAAGTTATAATACATAAAGGTTTCAAAATAACGTCAAATATTACGTCTACGAACTAATGTTATACAAGAAGGTATCTTAGAGTAATAAGTAAATCCTGAAAGTAAACTTGTTTTGTACGTTTTCGTCGTTGATGCTCATTCAGTAACTTTTATTGGACATTCTCCTTGTCTAAGGCTGCCGGTCAAACATTTGCATCGGATCACGACTGGGTATACTGTGCTACACATCTCTCTACAGCTAGTTAGATAATATACGTCTTGACACACCGAATATTTTCTAAATATTATCTTCGTGCCCCTTCATTTCTGAGTTCCGGGTTGACTGGTTTGGGATCGTCAACTAAAAAGGCTGTAGATCACTAACCTAGGTGATCTGTGTCGATGGTTAGAGGCCAACTGCAGTTGGATGGGGATGGCGTGTCCAACCATCTAATGTCAAATTCAAATCTCAGGGTTACACCTGACGTAGACTACCTTTTCTTCACATCCAGATACTATGGATTTTTTGATGGCCGTGCAACATAAACAACTTTATTACAGAAATAGATTAGTAAGAGTAGGCACAAAAAACAAATTCCAACCAATGCCAGATGAGGCAGTCCATGGCGTGCAACCGAATAATGCGGGTTATTTATCTTTAGCCTTGGCGAGGATCGGTGAACTGTTCGACATTCAGTGACTCGACTGCCGGATGATTTGGCTAGGGCCTAGTGACACTTCACTAGCTGTCTGGGACATTATGGACAATAGCGTTTTCAAGTACTGCATATCCATAACATCTTCAATATTAAAATAAACATACTACTATCTTCCCTACTTAAGTATGTTTGTTTTACATAAAATTAAGAAATAGCCTATACTTCCTCAGATTTGAAGCTTTTAGTAAACTGGAAAAACTTATCCTAATCAGCTTCACGTCTTTTTGAAATACTGTCAAAACTAATCTAAGTAGTTTGTTAATTCTTGTTCATTCTAAATACTTGGAGTTTAGTTTCAACTGGTGGGTTCATTGTCGGTCGTCCACTTTTGTTAACTTCTATCCTAGAAGTTAGCTCAAATTCACTTGTCGTCTATGATGTTTTCACTCCCGTCTATCTGGTGCGAAACTTAATCTTTAAATCTTCTTGATGATAGATGTTAAGAGTAGGGTTATAAGCCATCACCGATCATCGACTAGTTACGGTTTGGTACATGACATTTGACGTGAATTATTGCGTATAAACGTATGTCAATTTGAATATCATCCTCGTACATCAGTGGCTAACTGGTTAGACGTAACTTATTGACATTTATGGACAATCCAAGATTATTTGGTTTGCTTATCCAATATTCAATATTTTATGGCTAGCTAAATTTTTGCTCTCGCTCTCTGTTGTTGCTGTTCAGATCCAAGTCACTGGTGGCATCTACAGTGCGCAATCTACTCACCCAACTGTACTAGTTATAGTGATTCCAGTTGTTGTGTTTTGTATTTTGTAATCTATTTAAGCGCGGTAGTCGCAGGACAGTAGGTTTCTGTAATCCGCAGCTGTCACAATACCAGTCAGGTTGTATATGCTTTGTAGCTGTATATAATTCCCCAAGATCAATAGCTCATTAAGTGTTCGACATTGGATGCTGACCACATTGTTTTAAGTGGACTTGTTTAACTGAAGGCTTTCGATCATGCATCCGCACCAGGTCACGTTACGAACCAGCGTGGGACACAGCTCCTACGTTCACTAGCCAGATTAGAGCAAACGCTTCTCGATATATTGATAACGTATCAAATATATCTTTCCGATCTCTTCGCATCTGACTTCTGATTTCGATTCGTTGGGGAAAGCTTCGAATATAGGTGTTACTGGTTTCTAGTTGTCAAACTAGAAAACTAGTCGTATCTTCAGCTTACAGAGTAAAGATAATGAAACACGTTCAAATTCGGAAGAGTGGTGATCAGACGATGGTTAATAGCAGTAAATTAAGCAATCAATCCGTTGTGAACACTCATGACTGTAAGGATAGCGGGCAAATGGAAACGATAAGAAATGAGAAAAGAATAGGCTGATAGTTAATGATAGCTATAAGGGTAGAAGAATTGCTATATGTTAATGAGGCATAGCTTATCTAAGAGAAATAGTGATTCAGGGAGACGTATTTGGTGTTTACTGAGTGTTGTGGTCACTTTGTCTGAGAAAGCATTCCGGACATAGGGGACTTTTAATGAAAGAACGTAGGGGTTACCTGTGTTTTCGCTCTCTGATGCTAAGTTTTTCAAGATGTTTTCAGCAGCTTGACGGTGAGATTCTGACAAAGTATTTTCCCTGAGATAGCTTGGCATACTTGGTATTTTATATTACATCGTCAGGCCCCCTTTCAAACTTCCATTGCTCAGTGAGAGTAAACTCGAGTTCTGTGGTCTGTCTTTGCAAGATTCGTTCCTCAGTCCAATCAATCTAATTGTCGCCAACCCTTATACTCCTTATAAGACGGTTATTTATCCTCTGAAAAGATTATCGCGACGAGATTGTTAACTTTGAGGTCAAACCGTATGTCTGTCTTAATGGTTGTAAAGGACAA